AATTGAAACAAATTTCATATATGAAATATTTCATATATGAAATATTTCATATATGAAATATTTCATATATGAAATTTTCATATATGAAATTGTTTCAATTCCATATAAAGATTTCATATATGAAATATTTCATATATGAAATTTTCATTATATGAAACTTTCATATATGAAATTGTTTCAATTCCACATAAATATTTCATATATGAAATATTTCATATATGAAATTCCACATTAAGACTTCATGTATGAAATTCTCACATGTTTCAAATGTTCAAATATTAAGTTTTATGCATTGAAATTAAGCGAGTCAGGGGGAAGTTTATGTGATCCCATTTACCCGAGGTATTGAAATAAGTCCTTATGAAACCAGACAAGAACATGCTAACAACAGACTAAATATAGATCAATGCAAAAAAAAATATTCGCACGAATTAGTGCTCAACAATTACATTTTGCCCATTTGATATTTCTCCAGAACAAATTCAAAAGCCACCTGGATCATGTTATTTTTCCGAATCATTAACAAATGACTTATTTCAATATCTCAAAATCATTGCACGCTAGTTTAATCTTGTGTAAGCAGGATCATATGAACTGTCCCTTAGAAAAATCTAACTAAATAAGAAAGTTACGTGCTATGCAGGTTTGATATACCACATCAGACACTAGTTTATTCTAAATATACAAATTACAAAATAATAAAAACTTAATTACAACATACATATATTTACTCTCGGTTACAAAGGAAATGGATAATTTTGAGGAAATTATCCATTTGGGACATTTTTTGATACATGCACCCTGTATATGCATTACTCAACTAAAAGCATGCAGAAATAAAAAATCAGGGGTGGGTTACCAGTAACACCATGCAGGGACAAGACCAAAGATTAAAATTAAGAAATGCATATAATATCATTACTAAAATATTAAAACAAATACTGTATGTTTGTGTTCTCTTAACAGTTCTCCTGCTTCTCCAGTTCACATTGAATCTTTTTCTTGCATTCTTAGTTAATTTCGAAAAATTATTGGGCCTATCCACCTCAGTTAAGGCATTTGCTGTCAGCATGGACTAATAAAAGAAATTATATGGTTTATAATACAGTAAAATTAATATACATTGTGAGATCTGAATTTTCTTCTTGTCAGTGACTGCAGTCAAGCCTGTACTGTTTCAGTCAGTCACTGTCCACATGTCATACGACTAAATCGTTAGACAGAGTAAAATAATACTTAAAGCAGGGCGCATTGGCACAATGCAACTGAATGGATTAACTAGATTATTAGACATATGGCCAGATAGGCCAGTTAAGTTACTGTACCTATTAAATGCCAGAGCTCTCCCCTTGACAAGTAAATTGTCTGGCAGTAGACAGAGTAAAATAATAAAGCAGGGCACATCGGTGCAATGCAACTCAATGGATTAACTAGACTAGACACATGGGCAGATAGGCCAGTTAATCCATTAAGCACCAGAGCTCTCCCCTTGATGAGTAAATCATCTGGCGTTAGACAGAGTAAAATTGATAATAAAGCAGGGCGCATCGGGGCGCAATGTGTTAACTTATATCACAAAGAAAAATATCAGTAAACTTACATGCTTGCCTGTCTTGTTTTGGTGGGTCTGTCGGTCTCCCAGTGCATGTGTAAGGGAAGCCATTATACATCTGAGGGTTAACTATAAAAGGGTACAAATGGTGCATATATTAAATAAGTATGTTGAATACGAATATACTGTACAGTCATACCAACACTCTCCCCTTAACAAGTAAAGTCGTTCGGCATTTCAAGACAAAGAAACATAACAAATAACTAGGGATGCAATGGATATCATATCTGGCCAGATATTGAGATTTTACTTCATTTTCTGTTACATGGCCACCCAATACTGGGTATTATTTACATAAGGTTCAGGCCTTCAAGATTTACAGTTACTGCAGGTTAGATGATTTGATTAGGTTAGATGATTTGATTAGGCTAAAAAAGCAGGGGTGGTTATCATATTTTTATTCAATGATTGATAACAGGAATGCTTGTAAACACTATTTTCAAGATTTTATATGCTTGTTTGTAAATGCAGATTTGACCTTTGAACTAATGCAAGTGAGGCTTTTGCTACCAATGATGCATGTTTACTAGTGTTAGACTGTGAAGTTCTTTCCTATTATTTCAAATCAAAATTTTATAAACACCATCACTTTTTAACCAATTAAAATGATTACTTAAATTAACCTTAAATGAGGCCTGGACCATATATATATTTGAATAATACCCTGAATCTAGCTCCAGGGATATTTTTCAAGTATCCAACATATCCTCAACTATCCAACATATCTGGCTGGAGGGCAAAAAGACTCTACCCTGCACACCCCTACAAAGAACTTAAAGTATGTAACATAAGAAGAAATTGCTCCTTAGGTGTTAATAGGTGAAATATGGGCAAGTATTCCACAGTCGATAATCAAAATTGTCTAGCATGATATGTCAGAGTTGAATATCAAAGTACTTACAGTAGGTAGTGTTAGGGAAAATTGTATCTAAATATATCAACATGAAACATGGGCAGAGTCTAGCTAGACACTTCCCTTGACAAATAAAATTGTCCGGCATAAGGCAAGATTACATTTAACAAAGTGCTGAAAATTGGGCTCATTGGAGTGAATCAGTGAAATGGGTAATAATTCCAAAAACCATCAAATCCTTGCCGGGGTGTATATCTCAAATATATAAAATGTAGTCCAAAGGTTGTTACATATATTATTAAATTAAACAGATCATCTGATCATGCAGGTGGCATAAATAAATGTTATTTGCTGTGTTGGTGTAATGTACTCAGGTGAACAAGACGCTTGTGTGATCTTACTCTGATTGTATATCCTCACCAGGCAGGCTTGAAAAATATACCTGGCCACGGTGGGACTCAAACCTACGACCTTTGGAGTACTAGCCCAATGCTCTGCCAACTGAGCTATGCGGTCAGGTCGGTTCGAGTATGCTATATTTTGGAACTGAGTCTAGTTCCTTCCATATCAGTGTAATCTTTTATAATCATTTGCTGTGTTGGTGTAATGTACTCAGGTGAATAAGATGCTTACAAGTGTGATGTTACTCTGAGTGTATATATATATACACCAGCTGGCCACGGTGGAAAATATGCCTGCCCGGTGTGGATATACACTCGGAGTAACACCATAACATCACACAAGCATATAAAACTAAATGAATTCATATAAAGTTTGAAAGTTGTCACACAACCCATCAAATTGACAACTTTTATCTAAACTGACCCACCTATATATGAATAAATATTAATAGAAACTTATGAAAGTACCAGTTTAATAATTGGAAACAAATCGATGAATTCTCTCGAACCATGTTTACCTAGGACATACCTAGGTAGGCATATGAGAATTCAGTAGATCAAGTAGATTGGCAGCTATATTATTTTATACAAGGAACACTTGATCTGGCAATCCGTCATATACACAACTAGTCTATTTGGCATTACAACAAACATAATTTGATATAAAGGCTGAGTCAAATGTAAGCCTTTGTATAAAAACTAATGTATTTATATTGTCGCAGCGAATTCAAATTTTAAGACGGAACACATGCTCAAAATTCACGAATGAAGATAGTAAATATTTCCTTTCAAAATTGCTCTGTTATATAGAAAACAACACAATATTCTTACCTGGAAGTTACTCAGTCATCCCTGATGTTCCATCTTCGCTAAAATATACCATCTTCCAGTAAAATACTATAAATCTTTCGATCGAGCAGATGAAAATTCACTGCATTTCAAAAATATGGCGGTGTGCGGTGTGATCGAATGATGCTATCCCAGGAAGCTTTGCGCGTGTTGTAGGAAAACTAGGCACCAGTCTGTCAACCGTCAAAAAGCGCTCATCATGAGAATTTTTGTATAACAAAAATACCTACCTCCACAAGCTATAATATAGTTCCCATGAAGTCATGAAGAATTTAAGATTAACTCAATCCCTCAATCAAAACATTGGTATCGAAATTGAGGAGACCGGACTCAGGCCTGGAACACCTGGGGGCCCAACTTGCGGGCAGGGGGCCCTGGCATGCTGGAATTGCGAAATTTGTAAAATTAAGGATTTGTTCGGTGAATTATGGAATCTTCTGGGAAATTTAGGTCGAAACTTAGTGTTGCGAAAAATTTTGGGGACTTTTGTTTTCGGAAACATAACGTCGCCCCCACCCCCCACTCGCGACCGTTTTCCGGAAAAGAAAATTTTTCGGGGGGCTGCTAGGGTAGGGAGGTACAGATTTTTTAATAACCTCCA